ATATTTGCTGCCACTCTATTTGTCGGGTTTCTTGTAATGCCTGGATTAAAGGGTACCTTTCTCAAGGGATGATTTTTGTCTGCTTTTGTCAGGCAATGAGCACCCCTGTAATGAAACCTTTTAAAAATACAAATAAGCAACACAAACTATGCAAATAGTGTAGATTCAGGTACTAAACCATGTGAATGGTTGCCAGTGGCTATTCATTTTCAAGAAAACCTTAAAAAAGAAAACAACAAAAAAAAACCCCAAGCCTATGAATAGCCAAGGCTGAAAATGACAATTTTCCTTACCGTTTGTGTCTTCAATTTTTGTTTTATTTTAGTTCACTGTTTGTAAGAGGGTATTGCCTTTCGGGATTCTGGCTTTATGTGAGATGAACTCTTGATTTGCCTCCCTATTATTCACTGGCCCAAAGTTTTGTGCACATTCTCTAGGCTACAGTGAACAATATAGTCTCCCATATTTTGTCAGTTTCCAAGCGTCCCTAGAGATAGAAGTTTTAGCATGCATCAGAATCACCCAGAATGGGTGATTTTCTAAAACACAGATTGCATGTCCTTTGTCACAGCCACTCAATTCTGCTGTTGTAGCATAGAAGCAGCCACAGAGAATACATAAACAAAGGCATGCAGTTGTATTCCAATAAAACTTTATTTACAAAAATATGCATCAGGCCATGTTTGGCCTGGGGCCATAGTTGGCTGACCCCTGCTCTAGATTGATGTTCTTACTCTGTGCCTAGTCACAAGACGTTTCTTTTGCTTTCTTATAGTCACAGCTAGTCATTTAAAAGGGCTTAAAAATATTTTACTCAATTCACAGCGCTCACCATAGCACATACCCTCCCCAGTGTCTATCACCCAGCCGTCCCATCCCCCCCACCCCCACCACTCCAGCGACCCTCAGTTTGTTTCCTGAGATTAAGAATTCCTCATACCAGTGAGGTCATATGATACATGTCTTTCTCTGATTGACTTATTTCACTCAGCATAACACTCTCCAGTTCTATCAAGTCCTTGCAAATGGCAAGATTTCATTCCTTTTGATGGCTGCATAATATTCCATTGGGTATATATACCACATCTTCTTTATCCATTCATCTGTCGATGGACATCTTGGCTCTTTCCACAGTTTGGCTATTGTGGACATTGCTGCTATAAACATCGGGGTGCACGTACCCCTTCGGATCCCTCCATTTGTATCTTTGGGGTAAATACCCAGTAGTGCAATTGCTGGATCGTATGGTAGCTCTACTTTCAACTTTTTGAAGAACCTCCATACTGTTTTCCAGAGTGGCTGCGCCAGCTTGCATTCCCACCAACAATGATATAATGTATGGTGATTAACATAACATAATAATAAAAAAAATACACTGGGAAAACAAACAAAAAATATTTTACTGAAAAGTTTTAGATGTTACACAGCAGAAAATCTTTCAGGATCTTCATTCTAGCATATGACAGAAACAGAAGTTCTGAATTTAAATTTCTACTTGTTGAAAGAATTTCGGGCAAGACTTCTAGTGGAAATGATCTTTCCTACAAGTCTAGTCTCTTTAGTAGTCGATGAAGAGTTTCTGGGTTAGGCCTTATTTTTCTGTCGAGGCTTTTTCTACCCCCTGCCCCTACAGAACACATACTCTTCTGCTTGACTTGGTTGCCTCAAATACCCTGGACTTGCCTTGCTGTCTCATTCCCTCATGACTTTGCATATATTTTTCTATCTTCCAGGTTGCTCTCCCTTCCTACCCCACAGTAAGTTTGGCAAATTCCTGCTACTCCTTCAATCCTCATTAAAAGTACCTCTTCTGTGAAGCTCTTCTTTCCCAAAGCTTCTACTGTGTCCTATGTGTTCTAATTATGCCATTACACCTATTGTACTCCACTGCTATTGCTCATTTTCAAGAATGTCTCTTTGCTAGGCTATAGGAAACTTGAGGATAGGAATGAGTTTTATTTATCGTTAAGTGACCAGCGCCCGGTACATGTTTTTTACTCAATACATTTATTTATTTGCTTTTGAAAAAATGAATAAATGGCTAAGCAGATGAATGAGTCTTTAGGGAATGGGATTTTAAACAAACCCCTTGTTTAAGGTTTTAATCTATCTCAGTAACCACTGGCCAAATTAGAACCTCCTAAACCCAGGCTTGTTTATTATTCTGGTTAGTCAAACCTACATAAAGTCAGTAGTGAAACACACAAGGACACGGAAGATGCATGCATCACACCCAGCCAGCATCAGGGAGGCCATTTATTGTCTCTAAAATAAAACAAAAGACACAGTGTTTTGTTTCTCTTTTATTGCAACCCATTGCAAGGTCAAAAGATTCACGGAAATATAGAAACTACAAACTGGGTGAATTTCCTTTATCCACTCAAAAAGACATTAAAGACAAAGGACCAGAATTTTTCACAACAGCAATATATTTCATAGTCTTTATTCTGAAAATACTGTTGACATTTTGGAGAGGATAAAAAGCCCTGCATTAAACGTGTTCACATATATTTATGACATTCTAAGCAAAACAAGAAATTCTATATTGCCCAGAAATCATTTTAAGCCTCATTTCAAAGCATCTAATGAGAACACATTCAACAACCATCACAGGATCATTCAAGGTGATGCTTTTTTTTTTTTTTTTTCTGGTTGTTTTTTGAGATTAATGCTTTGAGGCTGGATACGATATTTCTACAGATTTCTACAAATATACCAAAGCAGTTTTCCAGGTTATGTTGCATCAGGCTTTCTGGATTAGTCAACATCTTAAAGAATAAGTGCAAGTCCCCCACCCCAACCCACCCCACCCCCAAGCTAAAGCATGTTATAGTGCTGTATTTTAGATTCAAAAAATGCAACATTTAAAAAAAATTTAATTATACACTTCTGAAACCGCTTGACAACCAAACTGTAACACTCTAAAGATTATTACAACTTTGAACTGAAATGGCACCATCCATATCATCAATGGCTCTCCCTTCTTTTGTCTTTTTTAACTATTTAAAATATAGTGTGACATATATAAAAATTAAACTTTTGTTTATTCACTCAAGTTACTATTACTATACACACTGTCATAAATTAGTTTTGGATTAAAAACCAGTTAAAATATTGTGAATTAAAATATTTTTCAGTGGTGGGGAAATGAATAGGAAAACGATACCACTTGATGTGCAAGAAGAACTTTTTTATTAATAATAAACAGCTTTTTTTTCCTTACACAAATTTTATTCCTTTCAAATTAAATTAGTAACCTATTTAGTGATGGAAAAAATACCCTTGGTGCTTACTAACTAGATTTTCTTAACTGATTGGGATTAAAAGCAAAAAACATGCCACATCAGAAACATGTTGACATAATCAAAGGAAACAGTGTTTACAAAAAAGGAGTCATTATAAATAAGTGAATGGTATTTGAATGTAAAGCTATATTTTGTTTCTTACAGCTAGTATCATTTTAGCTATATTGGGACTTACTGAAAGTGAAACTCAAACCTTAGTATATCTGCTAAAGACCAAAAAAAACAGTTATGTCCACATTGGGGAAGAATAAATAGCAAACTCACAAGGCAGGGTTTTGTATGTAGCTCTACTGTGAAAGATAATCACTCTTTAGCTTAAAAAGGCTCCCTGCTGTCTTGATTATAAATCTAGACACAGGAAAGTTTACTTGAGCCTGAGTCCCTACTATGAATTAATTGTAAAGATGTGTGAAATCAAAACATATATTCATTTACTGATAGATATGTCTTAACTGAAAGCTGGCAATCTTTAAACAAAGAAATGCTTATTTCTGGCAAGTGTAAACAGAATCTTAATGAAAAGATTTTCTAATTTTTCCTCCTAACTCATACATTAACCAGCAATAGATCTTTGTAATAGCACAAGAACTATTCAAAAATAACATGCATATATCCAAAAAACCTGTTCTAAAGCCAAAAGCAAAGCAAAAAAAAAAAAAAAGATAAATCAATAGAAAGATTGTCTACTTATATCTCACTCATTAATCTTCTATTCATGTGACTACCTCCAAATCTCAGGAATATACTTTCATAATTACCAAAATTAACAAAAATAATTAAATGATCTGTAGGGTTTGTTGTTGTTGTTGTTTAATAATTAATAGCTGCTTACTATTAATTACACTGGTGCCTTTAATGTGGATAATGCTAGGGTTAGCTCCAAATATCATTAAAATATACCTGGACCAGTTACTACCCATGAAATAAAAGCTAATACAATGTTAACATAAAACTTAACTAAAATATTCAGGACTCAACAGAACACATTTACAGAATAATGAATAATTAACTTTTGTGAGCTGGCCAGGGGAGTTCAGATTGTTGCCTCCATATACAAACTTCACAGAAGGCTTTATTTCCTTTAGTCCCTACCTCACCTACAGATAGCAAGTCAGCTCTCTGTGGATAGACTGAGGCAGAGCCACAGTGGATGACATGTTCCCTCAGTGACCTGGAGGGAGGCCCCTCTGTCAGAAAACAATCTAGAAAGAAACTGCCCTGGAGTTTGTGCACACATGCACGTGTACACGTACAGGAGGGGTGTGAGAACCTGGATGTGTGTATGTGCCTGAAATTTTGCAAAGTACTGGTTTCCTGGTTTCTAATTAGTGCAACATCACTTCTGGTCTGGTCATCAACAGGAGAAGTGCACAATTCCATCCCATCAAAAGAGAAGGCACATGCCTTTCTGTCAGGGCATCTTCAAGAGGCAATAATTAGAAGCTCAAGATAATAGACCAAAGTTTTTTGGTTTTACAGTAAAATTTTTTTTTCTTTAGAGAAACAGGCCTTTGAACCTAAAAACTAAAGGGTCTGTGGCTTTCGAAATCTTTAATTTTTAAGGGAAAAAAACAAACAAACAAACCCCAGCTCACCTGGGAACAAATAGCAGTTGCGCTTAGGCTATGCAGTATGCAAACAAGACACAAATATACACACTGGGGTACACCCGTAGACATGGAACAGTTAAAACCTTTCCAAGGGATCACCCACCCCAAATCTCCAGGTCCTCTCCATGCTGCTGAATGACCCGAGTGGCCGTACACATGAGCAGGAGTGTTAGGAGGAGGCGGCAGACATGTTGGGGGTCCAGCCCATCTGATAGGCTCTCTCCAAGGTCCTCTTGCAGTCCTGCAGCACGGTGCTGAAGGTGATGTGGGGGTACTGCTGCACCAGCTGCTCCACCGTGACTTCGTTGACCTGCAACCACAGAAGAGCTGCCGTCACGCACGGGGACCACTGAAACCACGAGCTGCCCACGTTCTCTGGTGTGCTTATGGTGGCACTAGGAACCCTTGCCTCATTCTTTCTCAGCCCCGTGAGAAAGCGTTTTATAAAATACGTGTTCCTTTTTGTCTGACCTTCCTGATTTCCTAAGTACTGGCGTTCACCCTTGGGGATTTTTCAAAAAGATGTATGATATCAAGAAATCAAATGTGTTTTCTAGAAGCATAAATGACAGTGGCTTACTGAGATCCTAACAATGCCCATTGAAAAGCTAGTGCTTGGGAGAAGAGGCAGCAGTAGGATAGCATTCTTATGTGCATTTGACTTCATCATCGACCTGACAGCTTTTTTAGGACAAAACTGTAGATTGGTAGAGAAGATCCACAGGATTCTAGGTAGAAGTGTTGGGGAAAATGTTTATTTTTCTTTCCTTTAAATGTTAAGGTATTGCAAACTTCACGTCCCTTTGTGAAAAGGGCTGAAATGTGAGGAATCAATAATTAAAACATACATGGCTGGCAGGTCAGGGATGGCCCCGACAGACCTTAACCATCAAGGATACCACCTTGATTCTTGATTAGACAAGGCAATCAGACAGGCCTAATTAAAACTAACACCTTTACAATTGCTGTGCTGTGAAGGGATTAATTTGTCAATTATTTTAAAGCTGATTGCAGTTCATATCACAGAAGTAGACAGCTTCCTTCATCCTTTAGATAAATAAATGATTAACCTAAGAACCACAACTTTTAGGTAGCTTTATTTAAAATCTTTATTGAACACTTGGGCATTTTCAAATACATCAATATTTCATTTATACTGAGTAAGCTGGTCTGAAAGAAGGTGCTTATGATACACAATTCTGTGCTCCCTCTCCATGTCTGTTCATTATCGAAAAATATCAGGACCACCAGGAAAACCTAAAACAACATCAAACCCTTGCTGTTTGGTTTGAAAGCCTGTTTAGAAGTATGATGACCATGACATTCAGTCATCTGCACTTTTCTGAAATAACATGATGTTTTCTGGGTGATGTGGAAAACTATGTTATATATAATCTTTTTTTTAATTGAGAATTGATATTTCAACATTGCATTGATGATAATCTGTCAGACTACGTCTCTATTCAAGACTTGCTTACATTTAAATCAACTTTCATTCCAAATTCAACCAAACCATGTAGTTAATTCTTTTTTGTGATATAGATACAGTGTATAACATTGTTTTCAAAAACAAGAAGATAATAATCTTAAATAAAAAGGAAAAACTGATACATAAATTAGAGTTGAGAATATGAACTGAGGGCCCTAAGAGAATTTTAAGCAATATTTTTAATTTTTTAATTTAAATTTATGCTCTAAGTCTTGCTTGAGTTGAGGCAGCTTATAACAGTACACTTAGAAGATCATACACCATCTAGCCCTGCCTATCTCTCTAGCGTATTTTTGATACTCCAGTCACCTGACTTAATTTCAGATCATCAAACTGTCCAAGTTTCTTCTGGCCTCAGGGTCTTTGCACATGCTATTCTCTTTCCTGGAATACTTTTTAATCCAGTTTCCCCTAAAAACCCCTTTGTTATGCCTACTTCCTAGTCATTCTTGAGTTCTTAGCTTCAATGTCATTCCCCAGGAAATTTTGATCACTGCCTGCCCTATCCTTGCTCCCCTCCCCAAGCTAGGTAAGGCTTCCAGATTATTTATTCTTTTAACATTGCCCACTTTGCCTTCCTAGCACTTATAAAGTTAGTTTATAATTGCTTCACTTAAGGTCTGTTTCTCCTGCTCCAATGTACAATCCACAAAAGCCAAGGTCATTTTTGTGTCCCTAAGTCAGGCCTTGTGATTAGTGAATGAATGATAAAATAAATACCAAATGATGAATAAAAAATAGAAACTCAAAGCAAGGCAAAGCCATAACTCAAATACTAATCACAAAGACCAATGATTCACTGAGGAATTCCTATTTGGCTCAGGAATTCCCTCCTTCAGGAAGTCTTCCCTAAGCAATCCTGTCTCCCAGAGAGGTTGGGTTAGGTATCCCCTTCCCTGTGCACCTGTGGCAGGCACCCTGCATGGTTTTTCTTTCACTTAAGCGCTCTCATGTTGCAACCATCGCTTTACCTGCCTTTGCCTTCCACCTGAACAGAAGCCGGGGACCAGGGGACTGCCTTTTACCTTTAAGCCTATCAAGCTGTGCACAACAAAGAGAAGAAACATGGCAACTGTGGTTCATACCATGGACTTCAGAGTCAACCAGAAACAGGTTAGGACCCTGGTTTCGCTTTATTTCTTCAAGACTTAGTTTCCTCAACTGTATGCACAGAATAAAAGTACTTAAGTCATAGGATTGTTATAAGGATTAAGTGTAATGATATGCTTAACACTGTGACTGACTTAAAAAGGTCCCCAAATGGTAGCTCTTATTATTATAGCAGGCCCTCAATAAATTCTCTGTAGCGATGCTCAATATTGTTCAATTTCTGAGATATTTCAGAAATGAGCTCTGATAACATTAGTTGTAATGTTCAAAGTAAAATAATCATAGGGCAAGAAGTAACCTTTAAAACATACTTCATATACAAGCAGAGTCTATTATATCTTATTATTCTCTAGGGGAGAGTCTAGAACTTTCCTTAATAAAACAGTCCAGGTTTTAAATATCTACTTTTGGAAAATCCTCCTTTTTCTTTACCTGATGTTTCCCATTCTGCCGTTAGGTTACCTTCCTCCCTCCTGCCATCAACAAACCCATAAGGATGCAGGTCTAAGAAAGAACTGAAGTCACTTGGTCAGAGAGGGCACCCAGAAAATCTACATTGCATTGCAAGAGAAGAAAGTGTGGTCCAAACCACTTGGTATCCAAGGAACAACTACCTGAAAAGAGATGACAAAAGAGTGGAGAAGAGAAGACATTTAAACCCACCCTAAAGATGGGGCCTGTCTTCTGTGCTGCATCTTTTCTAATCTACACATGGGCCTGTATAAAGTCCTATACCTAGGCTGACAGGCAATTTGTTTTGGAGATCCAATTTTTAAAAACAGAATATATCTCTATGTGATAACTTTTGCAGGAAGAGAGATACAATTCACCTTAAGCAAACTTGATATTTGGAGATAAATTTATGAAGTACATCAATGAGGGGTAATTGTTACTTGGTAAAGTCTTCCATGGTCAGGTTAATTTATTTTCTCAGCTCTCCCAACGTCTTTTATATGTCCTTTGATTTACCAAAATTCAATTTACCTATTTCTGTTGCATTAAGTAAGGTCTACCTGTAGCTGAGAATATAGAGTATATTAGCTCTCTGGCTTTCACAGGTTCTGAGCAAGAATAGACAGTAACTTGGCTTCATATGGCTGTATGAAAAACAGAACAAGTAATCCTCTGAGGGTATAATATGTCTTCTAAGCAATCTTTTTGCTAACTATGCTCTGTAAATTCTAGAAAACAAAGCAGAGGGGAAAATGCAAATATTCCATTTTAGAGCTTTGTTGGGTAGAAGCTATTCAGGGGAAATACATGTGTTCCCACTAGGGAAAGTTCTATCTTTTACTTACAGTGTCTCCTGGCGATATGGTGTGACAAATTTTATACTAAAGTTATTTTCATTTACTCCTCAGAAGTACAAATTATGCTCACCTCTTTGTATAGAATCTATAAGCACTTTGGTGCCTTAGAGAAAGAGTTCGGTGTAAGACACCAGGAGGGTCCAAATCATTTTAAATTGTTACGCCTACATACACATTTCTGCAGACATTTTGTCATGCACAACTCCACTCGCTAGAATGAAAAGAACCATTCTCTGTTCCAACTCATAAAATGTGTGTAATATAAGAAAGGAACATAGATGAATTTTTTTAAATTTCCCCATGATCCCTGGTTTTCTGTATTCAATTTCTTTTCCTCTTGCTGAAAACTATCAATGGCAACTCCTATATTACACAGGAGATTTGAAAAATGCAGCCTATCTTCCTTAAGAAATATGCAGTGGTGTCATTTGAAGAAATTACTGTGATTAAAGGGAAAAAAGTGTGTATCACAGGTTTTTTTTTTTAAATATAAGAAAAATTGGATTTTATGGTTCTCTCCAAAGACTGCAAAACCATAATTTACATTTTCAAAATTATTATAACTCTTTTCAAGGTAGTAGCAATTTGTCTGGTATTTTAATCTATTTTGAGTTAACATCTATTAGCACTTTTTGAAAATGTGAGGTAAATTGCTATGCTAATTAAGGTAAATCACACCATAGTTTCATTCTATTGCTGCTGCTACTATGGAAGGGTGAGGAGAGAACCTTCCGAGCTTCTGAGATTCAGCTGAGCTAATTTATCTAGACCATCACACCACTGTTTCACCTCATCAAAACTTTCCCCAGAACGTGCCAGCTAAGTGTAAGCCCAAGCCTGAAGTATCTCCCCAATGATAACAATGGTTCAAAAAATACTATTTCTGATAAAATTTGCCAAAGAAACCATTTATATTATGTGATTCTTATTTCCTCTTTGCCTTATGTTTTAAAATAGGACTTGTTTCTTATGAGGGAGGAAATATTTGACACCTGAGTATATTAAAATCACACTTATGAATATAATAAACCACTTAAAATCACTTTTTTAAAAATTACTTTTTTCTAAATGGAGAAAGTTTCCCTGCAGAAAGTGACCACTATTGAAAATACCAATACCAATAACATGTATTGTGTTATTGCTAGACTGTAAGTTCCCTGACAGCAAAGAGTATTTGAGTCATTCCTTTGTTTTCAGTCCTATGCACACTCCCCGCTGTATTCTTGCCCCATTAGATTATGAGCTCAAAAGACAGGAGTTTCTGTTGGTTTTGTTCACGGTCAAATCCCTAGCACCTATAGAATGTCTAGCACCTAGTAATGACTCAATAAATATTTGCTGGCTCAATTACTGTAGTAGTCATTCAATGAATAGGTATTGAGTAAACACAGAAGCACTGAT